GCTTGTGTTCCCTCTCTCGCTGTGTCTCTCTCTGTCAAACAAATAAATAAAATCTTTAAATAAAAAGAACCACAAAGTTTACGAAACTAAAGAAAGTTAAATATTTCTAGATCCCAAATCAGTACTGAAACATAAATCATTATTTTTTTAAAGTATTTCTAAAAGACAATGGAATGTGTCCTATTATTCTATATACAGCAACTGCCAGTAACCCACATAAATTCAGAATGTGGTATTTCTTCTTCAATCATTTCAAACACCTAAAGAAAATTCTTTTGTCCTTTTCTGGAGAATCATCAACTCTAAAAGACTTAGGAACCAAATGTTAAAAAATAAAAACTTACGTGTTAACAGAAAAGATTACCTAAATATTGTTTTTGACTGGCCTTGATATCTACTGGCGTCTATTTACTTAAAGAAGATTCTGTAGACAAATATGAAAAACCAGTCATTTGAAACTAAATCTGCTCAGCCAAAAGAGAAAAAAAGAAGAAACCACAGAGCATAATGTTCCAAAATGAAAATTCCATCTTCACCATGCCTCCTTACCATGAAGAGCCTACAAATAGAAACTAGGTAAACCCAAGTGAAGCATCTGTGAAAGGAAATTATTTTAGGAAGCAAACCCTTCAGAATCCTCGAAGAGGCTCCAGAAAAAGTCAATTTAGGACAATAAAGTAATTCAAAGACATTACTAATCAAAAGGCTCTCCAGCTATCCCCAACCATGCAAAAGCCCTAGGCCTGTGGCAAAATAACCATTAAGTACAGTATCAAGCTGGAAACACTGCAGCAGCACATTTAGAGACATACGATAATGCTGAATGTGGGTAAGGTGGTCACAGGTATAACAGAATCTAGAACAGTCTAAAATTACTCCATCTAAAAAAAGCTTATCAAAATTGGCAGCTAGAGAATTGCTTATAGCTGAAGTCCTTTTGTTGATGAGGACAGCATTAATTTTCTGGACAAACTTACCCATATTCCCTCTGTGATGAGCAGAAACCTTTTTTTTCCTTTGACAGGAAAAGGGACAAACTTAAAGAGCAGGTCCCTCTAACCCATATATCACCTCTGCAAGGATTAATCCCAAGTCAGTAGGACCTTGCTTTGTCCTTGCAATGACTGTCACCCACTCTCAGGCATCCCATGATGCATGCTTCTCAGTAAGCATGATTTCAATAATCCCTCTGAGTATTACCCTAAAAGCAAATGAGTCTATACTGACCTTCTAAACGTTCCACAAATAATCTCTTCAAGCTTTGGTAAATGCCAATTTTAATGGTGCCATATGATGCCTGTCTTAGTAAGGCAGGGGCAATTCTGCCAAAAAAAGAAAGAAAGAAAAAGTCAATTATACTCAACATGTACTTGTAGATTATTATATATGCTGCCGAAGCGAGCACTGCACTTGTAGATTATACATATCTATTTTACTCATTTCCATTACTCACCTCATTCCATCCAACTACATCAGAATATGCTTTTTTTCAAGAACCCATGGAACATTCACGAAGAGAGCACATTTGGATCATAAAACAAACCTCAACAAATTTAAAAGAATTGAAGTCATATAGAGTGTGTTCTCTGACCATAATGGAATTAAACTAGAAATCAATAAGGAAAATCCTCAAACACTTGGAAATTAAACAACACATTTCTAAATAATCCATGGTTCACAAGAACTCTCAAAGGAAATGTTAAAAATATGCAGAACTGAATGAAAATGAAAATTCAACCTATTAAAATATGTAGGATACAGCCAAAGCAGTGCTGAGAGGGAAATTTATGGCACAAAATGCTTACATTAGAAAGGAGGGAAAGTCTTGAGCAACCCTCTGGGGTCCCCTCCCTCTTTAGGAGCTTTGTACTATCATGTTACTATCTCAATAAACTTTGCTTTGCTGCCCACCCCAAAAAAAAAAAAAAGAAGAGAGAGAAAGAGAGGAGGAAAGTCTCAAATCAATAATCTAAGTCCCTAACTCAAGAAATTAGAAAAAGAAGAGCAAAGTAAACCCAAAGCAAGCATAAGGGGAGGGAATAATAAAGAGCATAAATTAATAAAATTGAAAACAAAAATAGAGAAAAATCAACAAAACAAAAAGATAGCTCTTTTGAAAAAAATCAATAAAATTGATAAAACTCTAGCAAGGTTCACAGTAATAAAAAGAGAGAAGACATAAGCCACCAATATCAGGAATGAAATGGAGAGCACCGCAAATTCTGCAGCCATTAAAAGGATAATAAGGGAATGCTATAAGCGACTTTATGCTCATAAATTCAAGAACTCAGAAGAAATGGACTAATTCCTTGAAAACTACGAACCACCAAAACTCAAAATGAAATAGATAAAAATATGGGAATCATCAAAAAAAGATGAAACAGATAATCTGAATAGCCTCATAACCATTAAAACATTTTTAATTCATAATTTAAAAGTTCCCAAAAAGGGGGGCGCCTGGGTGGCTCAGTTGGTTAAGCGACTGCCTTCGGCTCAGGTCATGATCCTGGAGTCCCGGGACTGAGTCCCGCATCAGGCTCCCTGCTCAGCGGGGAGTCTGCTTCTCCCTCTGACCCTCTTCACTCTCGTGCTCTCTATCTCTCATTCTCTCTCTCTCAAATAAATAAAATCTTTAAAAAAATAAAAAAATAAAAAAAAATAAAAGTTCCCAAAAAGGAAATCTCCAGGCCCAGATAATTTCACTGGGGAATTCTACCAAGCATTTAAAAAATCAACACCAATCTTACACCATCTCTTCCGAAGAGAGAATATTTCCCAATTCATTTTATGAGGCTAGTATTACCCTGATACCAAAACCAGACAAAAAGAGTACAAAAACAAAAAAACTATATGCCAGTATCTCTCAGGAATTTAGATGCAAAAATCCTTAACAAAATATTAGCAAACCAAATCTAGCAATGAAAAAAAGAAGTATACACCACTATTCACCTCATGGAGATTTTTTATTTTTTTTATTTATTTGGGAGGGTTATATGGTATCATTTATTTTTTATTAAATTCTTTTTTAATTTAAATTCAAGTAATTAACATATAGTGTATTATTAGTTTCAGAGGTAGAGTTCAGTGATTCATCAGTCTTATATAACAACCAGTGCTTATTACATCACGTGCCCTCTTTAATGTCCATCACCCAGTTACTCTTATCCTCCCCCCAACCCCCTCATGGAGGTTTTTTAAAAATCAACCTTACTTCCTAACAATTGCAGATACATCTTTAATCTATCAAGGAGGTACAGAGCCAAGATTTCACCCTATTTAAGTTCCGCTTATAAACTGAAGACATTCTCACTCGTACCTCCTTTGAGATTCTTCCAAATTGCAGAACTACACTTTAGTAGTTATAAATAGAAAGACGACAGCAGCTTGGATGGTTATGATTTTTAAAATGATGACTAAATATGCATATTTCTGACATTATTGCTTGCTATTAGAAAAAAATAATCTTGTGATTATCCATGCTGATTAAAGAACAAGATGAAACAGCTGATCCATGATTCACTAGCTTCAGAATGTATTACTTGATCTTTTTCCCTAAGAGAATTATCTTTTAAAATTAAGTCTAACACAGGTTAATAATAAAATTGATGTCCATTCTCTGAGCAGTAAACTGGTAACCTGAATGCAAGAGTGACCTAGGAAATTGGCAGCAGATACATGACAAAATGGATGATAAACCACAAATCTATAGCTAATTAAAAATTGACAAATAGATGGGTCTCCCTCTCTCTCATTCTGCATTTTATGTTTCAGTTCCCAGAACAGTATTTCTTTAAAGAGGAAAATTTTAAAAGAACTGAGTATTTGGCAACTCAGGAAGAATATTACAGAAATATATACAGTTAACTGGTGCTGCTATTCAGTGGTTATCGATGACTCTCAGGAAAACAGGAGAAAGCCAATGCTGCAATGAGATATCCATTTTAAAACATATCACTTAAAGCCAGATGAACACAAAATTCAAAGCTCGAGACCTACAAGCAAGTGAAATATAAACTGGCATGTCAATATTGAATTACAAATTGGAATGGTGAATATGAAGGGCACACACTATCAGACAGCTCAAATACATGGCTCCCTTAAAAAGTATTTCCCTTCATGATGTAAGGAAAGAATCCACTCTCACCCAGAATACAGAGCCAATACACCTTCTTCTTTATAGATGCGGAACAAGGCATGAAACATTCCTCGGTATTTTATCTCTTTAAAGCGAACATCAATGCTTTGGCCTTGAACTTGAAGTCGTGTTTTGGTCAAGTCCACAGGGAACGTTCCTGTAAAGGAACACACTGATATATAAGTTTTTCCAAAGAGTCACAGTTAAAATTTTGGCCGAATTTAAGCCAATGACAACTTTAAAACATAAGACAAAGTCCTTTTTATAACACACAGAGGGTATCTCTACTAGGAGTACCACTGTCAGAAGAGTTGAATGTGGTAAAGTGAAATATACTGTACTGTATCTAGGCAGTAGGATTTGACCCACAGTATAATTGAAACTGTGAAGTGCTTTAAGATGGTCCTAATATACTATAAATACAAAATAATTTAAATGTTTTATTCATCTGTACCATACAATTTGGCATTTGTCTCTTCCTCTGTCCCCCATCTCATCTCCCCACTTCGCCTTCATAAAATCTCCCCAAATTTTCACAAAGAAGATTAGAAAGCCTGGGATTGCTGTTCCAGGTACCCTTATATACTATTAGAAAGTTTTGTGGGGTTTTTTTTCTTTTATCTGTTTACAAGAAACAAATAGTGCCCTAATATTATGAAAGATAATGGCAAAGTCCTATTTGGTCTACTCATATTGATTCCCAGGTAATTCGGGACTAATACCAGCACAGTGCTTAGGAAATTTCTTTAACCAACTTCTTTTATTACATCAACAAACAGAAGTGGCCATTACATTGACAAAATATGTTCCAGGGAATATTTCAAAGTCTAAAACTAACAAGGTGATTATGTAGCCCTGGTCACTGATGACCTTGATATCACAACACCACAGCATTTGCCAAGAAAGTCAACAAAGATTAATGGATTAGAGTCATTTATGAGTATTTTAGGAAAGAGAAAATTTGGAAAATGAAAAAACACAATCTAAAAACATTCCAAAATTAAAATCAAATAGAGAAGAATCTAGTTTGATCTTATTAGTCAATTTTCTTCTAAAATGGGACAGAGGTTTGAAAAAAAGAAGTTTGGATACTTTCTAAGAAAGCTATAAACAACTGAGCATAAAGGAAAGACCATTAGTGCAAAAATATAGCAGAAAGCCCTATATTATCTAACTCCCTTTACCTTTTCATATTACTTAAACCTAGAGCAAATTAACAAATCATTAAACTATCAAAAGAGCTTCTTAAGTTTGACTTTTCTTAATCTCACTCACCATACCATTTGTCGTACTTTCTCAGAAAATATTACTTGATGGCTTGGAGACAATAGTTTTAAAACAAACAGAATGAGCTTCTTTTCACTTTTTTTCTAGTTTCCACCAAAAATAACTGTCACCATAAGCTACCATCTATAACATAGAAGCAGATTTGTCAGTTTTCACATTCTTACCAAATTCAGCAACAATAGAGGCAAGGCCGCCATATACAAAGGGCTTCCAATTCAGACCAGACATCTCATGGCTTACAGTGGCACTTTTCTGGGGCTAAAAATAAACACAAATCAGAACAAGGCACAAGAGTGAGGAGCATTTGTTAGTGTCTGATCACATTATTTATATTAACAAAATTGACAAATAAAACAGATGTAGAGGAAAAACCCCCGAATGAAACAAAATGGGGTATACTGTTTTATGTGCTGGATGATCATGAATATGTTCTTTACTGCCATTCTGTATGGGTAGGCGTGCAATTCCCTCAAAGATCAACTTGCACCCTTCATTCTCTCTAGTTTAATTTTATCCATGTCCCCACCCGAAGAAGAGGTTTCAGTCCATCCAGCACAACCAACTTAGACATTCAACTAGACAATTACAAGTTAAGGAACCTGGAGTTCAAATTATATAGGCTGAGGCATCTCATAAAAGCAGTTCATGGTATTCTGTTACCTTGATTCAGGGGCAAAGCAAAGGCTGACACCACTCCCCTCTCATGTTCTTAGACCTCTCACCTCTTTACTAAACTTCAGGGTTTTAATTCATCTAGCTAATTCTAGCTATATACAACTTCTCCTCTCAAAGCCCAAGCTGAACTAAGTACTTTTTCATCTTCCTTCTGATTCCCAGAAAAATGAAAACAATATAAATGATGTCTCTCTTTTCTCTGACATTTAACATATATCCATCTAGTGAATTTCTTTTTCCCTGGTCTTTTAAAGCACATACATACAAATATTGTTTTTCTTTGATGTTTAGACTCTTCAACAATGTATTTCTATTCCCAGCCCCCTATCCTTCTTCCCCATCCCACCCCCATTAGACCTGTCATCTTCAATCTTTTCATTTTTATTTTTCCTGCCACTCTCAGCTATTTCTCTCTTGGATTTTATTTTTTTTCCACAGCTCTGCCCTTTAGATCAGTGGTTTTCAAATTTTAGGTACACCAAAATGATCTAGAAGGTGAATTAAAACATAGTGTTGGGCCTCACCCTCAGAATTTCTGATTAGTGCCCTGGGTTTGGCCTAAGAATATGCAAGTTTCCAAATAATGCTGGTGCTCCCACACTTTAAGATCTACTACTGCTCGGGCGCCTGGGTAGCTCAGTCGTTAAGCGTCTGCCTTCGGCTCAGGTCATGATCCCAGGGTCCTGGGATCAAGTCCCACATTGGGCTCCTTGCTCCGCGGGAAGCCTGCTTCTCCCTCTGATCCTCTTCCCTCTCGTGCTATCTCTCATTCTCTCTCTCTCAAATAAATAAATAAAATCTTAAAAAAAAAAGATCTACTACTGCTCTACGCATCACCTACTAAATCCTGGTCCAGCTGGAAGTAATCTCTTTTAAGGTGGACTCTGAGATTTCTTTTAAATTATTCCTTTTCCAGAACTTCACAGTACGTATACTATTGAATTTCAAAAAAATCTTCAAGTGTTTTACAGTCAGGAATAAAGATTCGGAAGTCAGACTGCCTAGGTTCAAATCCTGACACTACCACTTACTAGCTCTGTGACCAAGTTACTTAACTACTCCATGCCATGCCTGCATTTTTGTAAAATGGGGATGATAATAAATACTATCTTATAGGGTTATTGTGAAAATTAAATGATATATGTAAAATACCTAGAAAAGTAACTGGCACCTAGTGCAACTATTATTTTTTTTAAGTTTATTTATTTTTTTAGTAATCTCTATACCCAACATGGGGCTTGAACTCACAACCCCAAGATCAAGAGTCGCATGCTTTTCCAAGTGAGCCAGCCAAGCACCCTCTAGTTCAACTATTAGCTATTATCATTACTACATTTTGAAAAGTACTCAAAATTACATTTTAACAGCTATTACTTGCTGCTCACCACCCCCACTGCCCAATATGAGGTTAGCACCATTGAGCCACAGTCTCTTTTTAGGGGAGACAAGGTTTTGCTTTATTTCCACAAAAGGAAATCTCTGTAACTAAGCACAAATGAACAATTTTCCAAAGAGGACAGCAAACATGCAGACAAATGTTTTAGTAAGAGGCCACAAAAATAATTATGGACACTTCCTTTAAGCATAGTGTGATCAGCCAGTCCATCTGATACATAGAGTCTGGAATAGATAGCTCTTTTGGGAGGAAAGTTGTTGAAAGAAATGCTAAAAAGCAAAGTAGGAATAGGCACTTCAAGTAGCAGCTGCAGTTTGAAATGAGTCTTGAGTACTATTATCTTATTAACATTTTCAGTTATGACCACATTTTATTACAATTGGTAGTAAAACATGACACACATGGTGAGAGGGTAAGCATGGAAAAGCAAGGACCATGGCATATCCCCTCTCTTAGTCAACAGAGAGAGCATTCCCCCAACACACAATTTAGAGATTTCCCAAAACAGTCAAGCATTTCAAATGGCTGCTATGCTTCTCCCCAAAGCTTTCTTTTTACAACTTCTTCCTACTCATCTCATTACAGAGAAAGCCTCTATCAGAGCTTCACTACCTGCTACCCAGACTTTTAATAAGGAAGATGTTCCCAGGGTTCAGGGAACAATAATAAATCAGTTAAAGGCAGAGGGCAGAGCCATAGGAGGGAATGGAATTTTAGGTCAGTCAGCCCAGTGGTTCCTTAATGAAGTTTTCATAATTCTGAGGTGAAATGAAGAAAATAAGGGCACCTAGTTAGTGCTTTTTTCTTCAGCTGAATGTGTTTAATTTAAAGAACTATCTATTAGGAAATCATGTTCTTCCTCCTGGAGCATTTTTTTAAATCACCTTTCCTGTATGAAATGTAGTTGGTAGTTGATTTGGTTTAGTATTCTTCTTAGTAAAGTAAGACTGGCTACCTTAATTTGTGCCTCCTCCCCACACTTTCACTTAAATGTTATTGGTGCACGAAATCCAAAAATCTAGGGACCACTGGCCAAATTCAACACTGCTACCACTCCCCCAACTGTCAGTAAAATCCCTTTTCCTCCATGTTAGGAAAGAATCTTGTTATGAAAAAGTCCTTTATATCTTTAATTAGGTCTGCTTTTAGACATTCTTTCCTCATACGGAGCCAAAAGTCTGCTTTCCTCTAGTTTTCACCCATTTGGGGAGGTAATATTAAACATATTATTTTTCCTGATGGGGGTCTTTCAAGTATTTAAAGACAGCTATCATGTTCTCCTACATCTTTCTCAGTGTAAACATCCACAAAAATTTTCATCACTCACTATATTATACTCCATTTACTACAGCTGAAAATTGCAGTCACTTTTGTGGAGGCCATATCACACTACTGAAATCATTAAAATGTCAGCTAAAACCTCTAAGTCTTTTACATAAGGCCAAACACATACATGCATGTCATGTTATATCTATTCCACAGTTGTGCAACGGTTTTTGAACATTCATTTACCCCCTTCTATATCTTAATTTCAGGCAACAGGATGAGGTTTCTCTTCTAGTTGCCCCATGTTATTCTCTCTCTTAACTAGGTAAGATCTCTGAAGGCAAACACCATGTCTCACAGTACTTTTCATAAGCCTTGCACAGAATTGGGTATATAGCCATTAAATACTTGGTTGATTCCAGTGAAATGTCCTTTATCTATGTAGGCAGTGTGTATGTAAAAGATGTGAGAAATTAGAAAGTTAACTTGCCAGACCTGAGCAATGCTACACACTCTGTACACAACATTTTGTTTTTATTCATCCTCAGCGATTCTCTAATTCTCTTCCCTTGGCTTTTTGCAGAGAATTACTTGTGTAAAAGACCCCAAGGATGCTAAAAATGATTTTTACTTGTGAGGGTTATCCCCAGATATGGGTAAAAGGAAAGAAGTCACATCTGAGTTAAAACAGAAATACAGTACCTTAAATATTTATCACATAAAGCAACCAATGAAAAATGTCTTTAAAATGCAAATGTGTTCTGAAGTCTAAGGAAAAGTTGTGTCTTACAACACAAGTTACATAGCACTACACTATTCCAAATATCTGCTCAGATAAATCTGGGTGCTTTTCTCACTTTCTCCTTTAAAAAAGAGTAGGCATTACAGATTCTCAGACTTCGTAGGTAATAATGGAAAGAGAAGCAAATATTTATTGAAGGCATACTTAATGCCCAAACCTGCAACATGCTATGGGTATAAACGTCATGTTAAAAAAACCAAACATATGTTCTAACATATGACAATATCTATCATTCAACCTATCTTTCCTGGATAATCAAGGAGATTGGGGTGGGGATAAAGTTGTACAAAATATAGTACTTGCCTTTCAAAAGCTTATAGTCTGGCAGAAGAAATCAAAGTAGTTCATTAGAGAAAAATTAAGTACTAAATTATATAGTACAAACTACAAGAGCAAGAGCATGGAAAAGGAGAGAAACAGCATGGGCCTGAATAATCTGAAAGGCTTCTAGAGTTGACTTAAAATGGGCCTTGCCAGAGTGCAGGCGGAATCAGGATAGGTGTAGGTAAGAGGGGGGTGGAGGATGAAAACAGAATGAACAGAGACACAAATGTGGAAAAAGCACAGCATGTGGAGGCAGGCATCAGTAGAGTTTGTTCGGAGAAGGAAGAGTGCAACCTAACTGGAACAGAGAATTCCCTTAACAGATTGAAGCAATTATCAGACAAGAAGTATGGGAAGGAAAAGGTTACACTGAAAAGCTTAAAACCAAAATGCACGTGTGGCAGGGTGAGAGGGATACTATAAGTTTTTGAACAGGGAAGGGACATGAGGATATCCACATTTTAGTTAGCCTACTAGGGCTGCAGCAAGCAGTGGATTACAAAGGAGAGAGGCAAGGAAACTAGCTTAGGATGGTATGAAGTAAAGCAGACAAGATGCTTGTTGGCAATGAGGTTAGAGATAAACTTATAAAATAGAAACACAAAGGAACTTGATGATGTAGGGAATGAAGACAAGAGTTCATAATAACTCCAAGCATCCCTAGCCTGGAAAAAACAAGAAAACACTGACAGAAAACCACAAACGTCCCTGCTGTTACCTTGTCTGAGAATCTAATTCATGTTGATAATGGCTGTCATCCCAATTAGTTAGCTGAACTGCATTTTAATAGATGCCTTCAATGCCTTGACCTTAAAGAGTGGCAGGGGGTAGAAACTGAAGGGGAGCATCTTTTAACAGCATCCCTCACACTAACACAATGGAGGTGTTTGCTTACTCCGCTTACAATCACGGCCGCCGTTGCAAACTTCACCCTTAGAAAAATTAGGATTATTCCAGGAAAGATACCCATTCACCCTCTGGGTAGCAGGATCTTGCCAGTTCCTCAGCTGTCAGAGCGAGTTCGTGGAGAGAAGGGAGGCGCCTGAAGAAGGCGGCCTCCCAAGGGGGTCGAGGAAGCAGGGTTCAATCGAAGAAGTAAAACCACCGATGCCAGAAGAGTGAAAGACAGGGAAGGGACTCAGCTGAGGGGAGAGAGAGATCAAAGGACCGTTAAGCCCCTCCCAGGCCGGGAACCAGGCCAGCCCGGCCCCGCGCGGCCTGGCGCGGCCCAGCCCCGCTCCCCAGCCTGTTTAAGTCCAAGCGCTCCCCCTCACCTGCTCGGGCTCATCGGACGACTGGGAAGCCGAGGCTCCCACAGTCGGAAACGCCACCGCAATGCCAACCCGGAAGCATTGAGACCAACGGAAGTAACCAAGTCGTCGCCCCGGCAACGGTGGCACAGGCATTGCAACACCACCTCCTCAAAGCCTAAAAAAGAAAGTGCGAAATGAGAGGTGGAAACGACAGGGGTCTTAACGGGGAAGTCGAGCCGGCTGCGGATGCAAAGACCCCGAAAGGGCAACCTTTTGGGAGGTGTAGGGAGAGAGAACTAAGGCGTGAGAATTTGGCAGCTTCTGCAGCTCACATGCTCGCCAGTTGGGGGCAGAGATGTCGCCTGGTTACCGCGTTACCACCCACCTCGCGCGTACTAGGGCTAGAAAAGGGGCGGGGGTTAAGAGGAGAGCGGCCAGCCGAACCTAAGTGACGCGAGGGGCGGGACAATCGTAGTGAAGGGACGGGACAATCGTAGTGAAGGGGCGGGGCGGGGCGCCTGCGCGCAGAGCACGAAAAAGGAGGGAAAGTGAGGGGGGCGGGGCAGAGGACTTAAAAAGTAGGAAAATGAGGGAAAGGAGTGAATGGTATTTAGTGAGGTGCCCGAAGTCGGAGAGAAAATAAAGATCAAGTAAATAAACCGCGGCACCGAATGGGCGCCAGGTATTAGGGACTGAGGAATCATACTCAGGGCCTGTACTCAAAGCACACAGTTGAGAAAAAACAGGTTGGAAACAGAAAGGGAGACCATAAAAACTTAAAGAATCTGAAGAGTAGAAAACCTAAAAAGGGAGTCCAAATTAATCCATACCTCACGATCCGCCAGAAAACGAGGAGCGAGCCTGAGGTGCGGCTTCTGGCTCTAGCCCCTGGGGACCGAAAGTAATGTTTGCAAAGCACCCTGGGTAATTCCGTTGACCAATGGGCTACATTTGATTTTTTTTAAGCAACTCACGCGAAGGTTCCATAATCCCGCGAGAAAACAAAATAATACAGTTTGCGTGTTGCGTATAAGTAAAAGTGGGTCAATGCAAGGCAGTGGCCCTAAATTATTGTTGAATTAATAAATATTTAGAATACTTTGTTCCGAAAGGATTTTTTCTCATTTTAGTTAACACTCAGGTTTCTCCGCCCATTAAAAAATTTCTTCAGGCAGCACACATAATATTACCTGATGTGGAATGCTTACCAAGGACAGTGCCAAGAGCTTCATGTGCAGACAACTACTCCATGAGAGAGGTACTATTATTTTCCGCCTTTGACAGATGAGAAACCTGAGGTTTTGAAGGAGAAACTTGGTATTGGCAGAGCTGGGACTCAAATCTGGGTCTGACTTCAGAGCTTAGGCTCTTAACTGCCCTGCTATACTGCGCTCAACTTTAATAGTACCCTTGTTACCTTCAGAAACTTTCTTACTAAAAATAGATAATATAAAAAAATGTGGGCGCCTGGGTGGCTCAGTTGGTTAATAGACTGCCTTCGGCTCGGGTCATGATCCTGGAGTCCCGGGATCGAGTCCCACATCGGGCTCCCTGCTCAGCAGGGAGTCTGCTTC